GTTTGTCAGTTCGGAGCTCAATTCGCAGCTTTCTGGCTTGAGGGCGTTTAGGGCATCAATCCAAAGAGAGCTGGCAGAAGGCTCCATAAGCTTTCCCTGAAATGATTGGAAGCTGATATTGGGAGTTTCCGGAGTCCCCTATTGTCGGAAACCCCTATAGTATGGGGTCAAGCCTTTGCGCCGCTGCTGGCGCCAGGTGCTGCAATCTCGCCCGAGCCGAGAACTGAACCTTATACCCTGCACCTATAGGGTTTAGGGTTTAGGGTACCCCATACCCCAAAACCTGTAGTGTCCTGAGCCCCAAAGCCCCAACGCCCCGAAAAAAGCCATGGTCTGAAGAACCTGAAGACCTAAACTTCTTGGGACCTTATGTCACGCTGCAAAAAGGTATCCTCAGCTTCACGACCTCTTAAAGAGTCCAACATGAATCCTAAGCATGAATCAGCTCTCAGGTAACGTAGGTAGGATTTGAGCTTCATGCTTGTGTGGGAGGCTTGCCTTAAGTCGAGACTGTGGTTTTGGGGTGATGAGGTGCCTTACTGACTTGAACAGCCGATTCGGGTGAAAATCTGTCGAATTAATTAACTAGATCCACCACTGCTTTCTGGCGTTTCCGAGTCGCTTGCTTGAGGTTTCAGAGTAGGGAGATACAGGCTTTCGGCTGCCACAGAAGGGCATCTTAACCAGCTTTGACTTGAGATACTAAGACTCAAGATCTGAAGGCCCCGAATTCAGCGGCATCTCTTCTGCGTTGCAGGTCGTCTGTCGCACCAGCCACAATGAATCTGTAAGCCCCTGAATTTGCAACAATCGGGACCGGCACCTTCCTCGTATTTTCTGTGTCAACTAACCAGACAAATCATGCAATGCCCTTCTCCTCACCAGGGCGATGCCAGTGGCATTGCTACGGTCCCTATAGCTTGTTTTCAATGGACAGAGACCCGCAAGCAAGCCGGAGGACGCTCAGAGGACTTCCAGATGTGACTCTTACAGAACTGGCAAGCTGATAGAGGTAACAGCATTCAGCCTTTAAGGGTTAAGGATTAAAGGTTAAGGGATCGTGTCTACAGAATGCTTGTACACGTAAAGATTTGAAGAAGGGGTTTTGGGTTTTCGGGATCACGGTTTCAGAAGGAGAAGGAACAGAGTCACGAGCAGGAGCACATAAGACATGCTCCTCTGTCTCCACAATAGGCATCTGCAATAAACTCAGCCGGTATTGCCTGGTGCCTTAATAGCCATGGGAACCCTAAACCCCAGAGCCCTAAACCCTAAACCGATATCATGTGATGTTTAGGGTTTCGGGCTCGGCTTCAGGGGTCAGGGGGCTTAGAGTCCAGGCTTCGGTGTAGGGCTTGGGGTTGAGTTCGGGTGCAGGGTTTAGGGGGTCATGGGCTAAGGCGTAGGCTTTCGTTTTGCTTTAGGCTTGTTCAAACAGAGCTCGGGATTCCTCTGAGAGTCTCTCTGGTGAGCGAGGCGCCAAGTTTAAACACAAGCAGAATGGAACTTCTGGAAACTGGCCTTTACGCAACGCCACAATCAAAAAAGACATCACCGGTGGCATTGCAGGGCAGGGCTGATGATGGACTTCAGGCAACTACCGTGTGAGCCAGCGGTCCGGGATTTCCGGTTTACACTTTCCGTAAGGCCTAGGCTCAGAACGTAGCACGTGACATAACAGGCGGGAGAAACAAAACTGATACGGTTGGAAACGGTCCTGGGGCTAGCTGCTCGTGATATCCTAGCAGCTCGAACCACCGAAACTGTGCTGTTGCGACGGCAAACAAACTAGGGTCACGCTGTAAGCTCCTACAACATCACTTTGCATGCAGTTGGGGAACGAACAAATTAAGGTGTATTATTATACTATAGTATGCAATGGCAGACCAAAAGTTATGGCACAATCATAGCATATTATAGTTGTGCTATATCACATACACCTCATCTAGAATCTAGCCATCGTCTGCTCGCGGCCTAGAGAAGCTGTTCTAACTTGCCAAAGAAAGGCACGGGTTCCAGCCAGCACCGAAATTCCATCTGCATTTCGATCTCCACTGTGCAAGCCACGCAACATAGCCTGAACTGCCGAATGAAGCATGGCAAGAGCTGTTCTCAATAATGTAGGGGCCTTAATAATTAGAATAGGGTTTGGGGGTATAGTATACTATACTTAAACATAAGGAACCTGCAAAATATTATAGGTAAGTATTTACGCCCCTATATTAAACCACGAGCCCTTACTTCCCTCATACTATTCCTTACTTATTCGCGATCCCTGGCTAGTCGCAGCCTAAGTACCCCAGGCCCCCACTACTGGGAGCTTAAGGGCTGCGCGCTTGCGGCTGACCCATCCTGAACCCTCACAACCCGAATGATTCGCTTTGGGGATACGAAATTTGGGCTTTGAAAGCCAAGTTTCTGAAACTCGTGCCAGGGAACCGCTGCGAAAGAGAGTACAGCCAAAGGCGACTGAAAGGTTAACCAGCCCCGAAACAATTAGCGTCTAGGGCTTGGGATTTGGAGCTTAAGGTTAAAAGACTCCTTCTTACGATTCAAGGTATGGGGCTGTAGGGCCCACCGAATGTGAATCCATGAGTACTCCACAGCAGCTCGAGACAAAAGCGATAAGCCCAAGGTTCCGCCACTACCTCCCAGCAACTGCAGGAGAAACATAGAGCTTCCGAAATGTGCTACTCAAGCCGACCACTTGCAAGGGCATAACAAGCTTGTGAAGCACTGCAGCCGCTATCAAACGACAGCTGCAGCGTCAAAAAGCCTAGGGCCTACAACGAAAAATGTGGTTGCAACGGAAATCGACGTTCTGCCTTAGCAAAAGAGCCAAAGCTGGTGTCCTTCAACCTACCCTGCCGTTTGTGAGCTTGATCCCCCTTATCCGGAGGCAGTGGCAGGCGGCAGACGAAATAAAGGCCACCATCTGGCGTGAGAGGTCCGGTGGCCTACGGCTTCCGGTTTGAACAGGACAAGATCTGCCGCTGTTGCAGGAATAGGCATTTGCAGGGTCCAGTACTTACGGAATCTTACGAGGGTGCGTTCATCTAGTGTGTGGGGCGAAGAGACGTTAACTTGTCAAAACCAATCGCTGGCCTACTAGTTACTACTGATAACTACTGTATTACTACAAATACTGTTATCGTTATGATGATTATGATTACAAATATTGCTTCTACTATCATTGTCCTACTTGTTTTGTGTAACCGCACCCGTCTGCCCTGGCATTAGTCTTGCTCACACACATATCAGCACCCGGGCTTCGAGGCACAATAGTCTTGAAGCACAGCTTCAATCGAATATGCGGGGTACTATAACGCTACCATAAGGGGTACTCCAAGGCTACTAATGCTTCTACAAGGGCGTGATTCTGGGGTAAGTCTGCACTGGGGAGCAGGAGTGAGTATCAGTCGTCTTGAGCATCTCAGTGGAGCTATCTTGCCCACACGCGACACCCCTGGCGTTTTGCAGGTGGTGCGGCGCAAGTCCTGTCCTTCTCCTACACCTGCAGAGGCCCTGGTAACTTCAAGAACTCTAGGACAGGTTCGACTCCTTGGCGTCACGAAGATGTGAATTACACGATATCGTACCAGATCAGGCTATATGTTTCTATCTTATACTATGTCCCACAGTACTATACAAAACATTATGCAATGGTTGTGGCGAAGATGTCGTGTTGTCGATGCAGCTGCTCATGATGATGATCTTTATGCAGCAGGACAGGAAGATGCTGACCATGACTATCATGGAGGTGATGAGGATAACAAAGCGGAGGAAACGAAATCCGTAATAATGAGAATACTCTTAAGCGGTCATGGCAAAGATGTCCAGGCCTACGAAATTTTCATGAAGCTCGCGCTGGCGAAGATGAGGATGACGGCGAAAATGGTTCTGATGGCAGTCATGAAAGTGACGCGGTTGATGGCGATTGTTGTGGAACTGGGTTGGTAGCAGGTGGTGATGGTGGCGGTTGCGGGCAGCGGTGGGGCTGCTTGAAGTGTTTGCAGTGCCTGCGGTACTTGCCGGTGTCAAGCCTGCGATACTTACGATGCCAAGGAATCAAGGCTCGTACCCCAGACCACAAAGATGGACCCTGTTGATAATCCAGATCTACCAGGGCAGCACTCTGCTTCAGCTGCGTGAAACTGCAAGATTCATTGAAAGACCCAAAACGCGCACTGCTGTTCGGCCTGCCTCGTAAACCAATTAAGGCTACGGCGAGTGGCTACTCCTGCTGCTACTATGACGACGTCGTCGGCAATTCCACTTGCAACCGCACCAAGAGCAGCATCCAAAACACCACCATCACCACCTCCAACAGCAACGTCAACAACAGCAACTAAATCTGAACCTCTAATATGCGGAAGAGATAAACAGAACAAGAACAAGAACGGCAACCACAACCACCACAGCAAGGACAACAATAGAGACAACAACATGGGCGACGATGACAGCAACGACGATGACAACTTAAAGGGCGGGCCAGGGGAACGAAAGCTAGCGTAGGCTGGAGGGACGGACAAAGCTGCCGAGCAGGCATTCTCACATGCAACCAGAACCGCATCTGCAACGTGGGGAAACTGAGATGGCATCATCACCTCCGGCACATCGAACCACGTCAACAACTCGGCAGCAGGGGAGGGAAGGGGGGGAGGGATTAGGGTCAATTCTTTTGCGTCTGGGCCTGTGGTCCCGGGCACAGAAAAGAAAGCCTGGCTATGCTAGCTTTCGTGATTTGCCTGTGACCAGTACGCTAGTTTCGGTACCCTTTTGTGACTGTCTCAGTTGTGTTGCGCATCCTAAGTTCTACTACCATGTAAACTCGACTCCCTGCCCTAAAGCCGCTCTTGTCTAACAACTCTGCTTGAGGCGACCCTAGGCCCTTGGCCTGAGCACTTGCGATTTTGGGCTCTTGCAATGTTTTGCCCTCTTTGTGAGAGCTCAGTGATGTCAGAATCAATCTCCGTCGGTATGGCGACAGATCTGCATGTTCAGGCCTGAAGCTTGCGCAAGCCCATGCAGGGTGGTGTTAGTCTTCTTAGTTGCAGATTGCCCAGTATCCTATCCCTAGAACCACTGTCACGACCTTTATCTTCTAAGTGGTACTACTGCCATGGTTTGAAATCGGAACTGGCTGCCGCTACATGGTCACTGATATCTAAGATTCACGCACTTGCGCTGGGCACTGTTGTGCCTGCTGCCTGGTCCACAGAATTCCAAAGCCCGCGAGATGACGCAAGTATTATTGGCCCGAAACCCTGCAACCCTTGTCCGGCTTTTTTAGCGCTCCCGGGTTTCGGGGTCGGCTTGCTCCGGGTGTAGCTTCGGGTTTTTAGCGTTTTGCGCTTAAGCGTGAAGCCAAAAAGTTACAGCTTCAGGGTTTAGGGCTGTTTTGAGGTTTGGGTGCTTGTTGTTTTCGGGGCTTCCACCATGACACCCAAAAACTTGAAGCCAGCACTGCTCCACTTTGATTCATGTCTTGTCAACCGATGCATGGAATCAGGTAGTACAGACCCATGAACTAAGCCCTCAGCCCCAGATCCAGCCGTTCATGGAAGGTATGCAGGGGTTCGCGGGTTTAGGGAGGCTGCAAATTTGCAGACTGGAATGGTTGATTTGAAAGAAACCTCCACCCTCATACTCTGACCACAGGCACCATGCTTAAACCCTACATCAACCACCTGAATTCCCGAAAAGTAAAAATAACAGTAGTAGTAGTAATAGTAGTAGTAGTAGTAGTAGTAGTAGTAGTAGTAGCAGCAGTAGTAGTAGTAGTAGTAGCAGTAGTAGCAGAAGTAGTAGAAGTAGTAGTAGTAGTAATTAGTAGTAGTAGTAGTAGTAGTAGTAGTAGTAGTAGTAGATGTAGAAATAGTAGTAATAATCATAACAGTAGTAGCAATAACAAGAAGTTATTGTTAACAGTCATAATAGCTTCATTGTTATTACCCTAACACTAAAACCCTAAAGCTTGGACCGAAACTGCAAAGCTCCCGGCTGCGACGAGGATCGCATCCGACTCGCCGGCTGTTTCCTCGACCGTCTTGGCACAAAGGTCCTCGGCTCGAGGGCTTCTGGGGTTTAGGGCTTTGGGCTTCTAGGGTTAAGTGCTGAAGGCTGTGGGCTTAGGGCTCAGGGCTTAACGAAGGTTGTGGACTGGGGCCCGAAAACTTATGCAGCTGCCAGGAGATCGCGGAAAATTGGGGGGTAGAGTTGGTAGAAATGAGGGGTCTAGGCATCTGCTTCGTAGAACATGGGGAGTTTGGAGTTCAGGGTGCGGTGCACGTTCACGGCTGCGGGTTTACGGAGCAGAGGAGGGTTGGGATGGGTTGGGGACGCAGGGCTCTGCAGGTTCGCACTTCGAAGCACAAGGCATCAGGGGCTCCAGGGCATGGAGGCTTCATGAATACAACTCGCAGTTCAAGGGGTCTTACGGCCGGGAAACCGAGGATGTAGTGCGACCTTCTGTGCATGTGCACATACTGTAGATACTGGCGAGCTTTCTCATGCCTTTAATAGGTTTGGGTTTAGGGTTGCTTGGCCACTTCGTCAGTTCGCTGGCTGCCCGCTTACGGGCTGACCCCGCACTCGGATGCTAAACCTGAAGCCCTAAATGACTGAAGTCAAAGCCTACACCCAAAACTTAGGCCCTTACAAGCCCTACAACGTGAGCCCGAAACCCCAAACCTCAATCCGAAAGCTACAACACTTTCAACCACGGGTCCCAAGCTCTGACCCTAAGCCGACACTTCTGGCCCGAAACTCTGGAACCGCAACCCTAAACCCGATACGTGAACCCCGAGCCCGCAGGTTGACCCCAATATAAGGGCCCTTGACACCTGGAATAAAGTTTTGGTGGTATCTTGTACTATAGTTTTAGGGGTAGCCTCGGAAATGTGGGACTATGCCGGGATGTCCTTGCCAACTGTTCCGACCCTTGATCTACCCCTAAACTTCGAGGCCCAAAGCCGGGGTGCTGCGCAGCGCAGTGACGTGGGTCCACTGAGCTTCTGCAAGGCTTCCTGGACCTCGTGCTGCGCTGTGATTCCGGGAATTTCGGCCCGATGCTAAATGCCACAAAGCACCAGCAGAACCCAAATGTTCTTAATCAGGTTCCTACGTTACCCCGGTTCTAACCCAAAGCCCCCAACCTCCCAGAAGCCTGAGCCAAAGGTCGAATGAAACAACCGTAACGTCCGGGGGGTTTGGGCTTCGGGACAAGGGCGCTGTTAGCATGGGGCGAAGAGGTTTACAGCTCAACGGCTTATGGGCTTCAAGCTTTAGGCTTTCAACGCGTAGGGCTTAGGGTTAAAGACCTCGAGACGAACTGAGAACATGAAGAGCACTCACAGCCCTAAACTACCCAAAAAAATCTAAAACCTCAAGCCTCTAAACCCCTGAACCCCGAAACCCCGTAAACCCCCCTAAACCGAAGGCCAGAGGGACAGACGCTCTCTCTCTCTCTCTCTCTCTGTCTCTCTCTCCTTCTCCGTTTCGAGCCGAGAAGATAAAGACTGCCTTAGGCTTTAGGGCTTAATGCTACAAGGCTACAAATTTTGTGAACCTTGCAGATCTGACCCACATCTCAAGGCCCCCCAAAACCCAAAATCCGAGCCGGGGCCCGAACCATCTGGATGGACGCCTCCGGGGGAGTTGCCATGGCTTTGGGTTTGGGGTTTAGGGTTTAGGGTTTAGGGTTTAGGGTTTTGGCTTAAGGGTTGGGGCTTTGCGTTTCTGACGGAGTTTGCAGCAAGGACGACTCCCAAGAAAGACTCTGATTCAGACTTCACTCGCTGCCGGTCCTTCCGACATTGACATGGGGTTTCCCAGAAAATTAGGTGGTCGGGTTTGATGCAGGTCGTCATACTACTTGGACTTCTGCTGCTGACTAGGCGTCTATGCGCCATATGGGTGTTTCCGAAAATAGGGGACCCTTATATAGTACCCTAAATAGTAGGATCCTTATTATCAGGACCCCAAAATAAGGCACCCCTTGTTTTCGGAAACTCCCATATGCGATCCAAGACGATGGTGGCTGGCATGCCTTCCCACCAGACGTCATGCTCACATCCAAAGTAGTAGTCACCCTGCTGAATGCGTCCGCCGCTTCATCACAATCGTGTGGAAGGGCCGGTCAAAGCCAGTAAAGACCCTGTGAACCTAAGCCTGACCTCCCGGCATCGTAAACACAAATCCCTAAACCATGAAACCCTAAAACCACAAAACCCAAAGCCCCTAAACCCTAAAGCCCCACTTAAACATTGGAAAGCACAGAAGTGCTCAGTCGGCCCGCGCCTGGGCGTCCGTGCAGTGGATGAAGATCCCACCGCGGGCTTCCCACTCAAAGCCTCTGTGGTGTGGGGGATTAGGGTGGTTGAGGGTTTGAAGGGGTTCCCGGTTTCGGGCTTCAGGTTTAGAACGTAGGCTTAGGCTTTGGGGGCTGCAGAGTTGAGGGTGTGGGGTTGAAGTTTCTGCGCGGGCTGGGCGCTTGCACCTCCTTAAACGATGCTCCTCCTGACCCTCAAGGATCATTGTCCTCATGCCCTTGCAGTAAAGTATAAGGAATCCCATCCCTGACCACTCTCAATCCATGCTCAAAAACTCTACCACCTCAAGTGCTCCAGGATACTCGAAGCCCGAACCTTAGGGACATAAGGATATCCACAGTACACCTCCAACTCCACTGCCGCAGTTCCGGGGCAGCGGGCGGTACTCCGCCCGGTCGTCCACGAGGATGGCTCCAGGATGGCTGAAAAGAGCCTCCGGTTCTTCTTGGGTGCACATGGGGCGCACTGACTGCCCTATACCCTGAAACCGAAAACCTAAACCTTGAACTCTAAACCCTCAACTTTGAGCCCAGTCCCGCGAATGACCTGACGTGACATCGATGAAGCAACCTAAGGACAGAAGTCATTGGCCATGGCTTCTGCTTGGATGAGGATGACAAAAACACGTGTCCAAACAGCAGCCGAGCAAGGCAAGTGCAACCGAACTGCATATTGTTTTGATTAACCCGCAGCCCCGAAAAGCCCAGCCTTTTCATCTCGGGTACCTGCTACACCCCGAGCTGAACCCCCTAAACCCTAAACTCTGGCCCCAAACTCCTACGGTCGAATCCGAACCCTCTCCAGAGTCGACGTCGGCCTTGTCGCTGGCATCTACGACGAGAACCTCTGAGGCTCGCGTCGATCAGGTTTGTGGGGTTTTTCAGCACTTTTGTACGGAGGTGTTATAGCTTAAAGTTCAAGGTGTTGGTCTGAACTATGGGCAGGCTTCTGATCAAAGTCTGTTTGAGGGGGTGTGGGATTTAGGGCTTAGGATCTGGCTGAGAATCGGGATTTCGGGCTTCAGACTTCAAGGTTCGGGGTCTGAAAGTAATATCTACGATGTAGAGAAGTGGGTGGGAGGGGCGAGTCAGGGATGAGCTGTTGCATTGACGTGCTAGGGAGAAATGGAAGGAGCTCTTTTTGAAGGGTTGGGTGCCCTGGTTTGGGATGGAAGAGACATAGTTTAAGCTTGAAGATGCAAGCTGAACAGGAATCCCCAATCCCCAAGCTTTTCTGGGGCCCTGGCACGATCAGCCGGCAACTTGAGATTCCTTGGTGAAAGGGGCTTTGGGTTTCGGCCTTTAGAGGGGCTCCGATGAGTATGCTTGTCGTTGTCGGGCTCGCCGCGGTAGATGCAGAAGTACTAGCAGGCAGACAGTAGCAGTAGCATGGTGTGCAACTGCATGTGATGCACTGACCTGAGTTCTGCAACGTCTGCTGCAGCTTCTTGCAGCTATGAGCAATCGATGCCTCAATCGGGCTTAGGGTCTAGGGCTTAGGAAATGGAGGACCCTAAATAACTTGGGGGGGGTCCTAGCATGAATACAGTATCATAAATTCCACAACCCGATTCTACGTACTAAGGCTCCATCTATTCAAACCATTCAGCCCGCGACTTCTCGCACCAGCGCACTTTCTGTGGACCGGCCTCGGGACATTGGCTCTCAAGCTCCCTTTTGACAGGTATCCTGATCCATGGCTATGTTTATGCTTGCTGGTAATATAGCACATTTTTACTATCAACTACTACGGTTGCTGATTGTCTGACGCTCTCGCTTTAGCAGTTCAAGCTTGGGGACGAAGGAAAAGAGACTACATGGCGAAGGGAGACGCACTTGCGGCTTGCGGTCTGGAACACAGAAAGACAAAGGCATCGCCAAATCTAATGAGCACAGCAGTGCAAACTCTGCAAGACAACCCTACTTTCTGTTGAAGCGACTTGCACATCGAGCAAAAGCGCCACGCTGTGCTGAAGACGGCATGGACGCATTCCTAGATCAAGCACCAGTAGCTTCGGATACCAGACCCAAACTGACAAGTCCTACATCCAGAAGACCAAGCATGCCAGCCTCGATACTTGCATGTACGGGTTGAAGGCGAGCAAGAGAAAGATATAGGAAAAGAGAAAGATAAACAAAAATACAAACAGAAAGAAACAGAGAGCGTGAGAGAGAGAGAGAGAGAAAAAAAAAAGAGAGAGAGACAGAGAGAGAAAGAGACAGAGTGAGAGAGAGACACGGAGAGAGAGAGAGAGAGAGACTAAAAGACAAAAACTGCAATAAGCCATGACCAAGCTCCGCTCCCAGAGCAGCTGAAATGTCCAACGACTGCCCTCACTTGGGATCCGAGCCCAGTCCCCGGATGGTGAGCCAGTCAGAATGGCCGGGGACAAGGGCTCAAGGTACTTCCTGCGCAGGAAAAGGGCTGTAGGCACTACTACTACTACCACCACTACCACTACCACTACCACTACCACTACCACTACCACTACTATTGCTCTTATTAATGCTACTCACTACCCTCCCCGCCCCAAACGGTCGGGTGTCCAGAGCTCAGCTCCGCCCTGCATCCAATCCAGTCGGGCCTCAAGCGGACAGAGCCAGGGTTTAGGGTTTAGGGTTTAGGGTTTAGGGTTCAGGGGTTTAGGGGTTAGGGGTTTAAGGTGTTTTTCGGATTCCGGCTTGAGGCAAAAGATAGAGGCTGCTCTCTCGATTTAAGTCCTCAAAATTTGAGGGTGCAAAAACTCAGGCATCAGTTCAGTTTCGTTTCGAACCCGAAACACTCAACTTTCGCGTGAGACCTGCTTCAGGATGTTCTAGTTTGGGTGGTAGTTGCATGACAGAGTACACATATGACTACACGACAAGAAGCGCCAACTGTATCAAGCTGCGTTAGACAAACGGACGAGAACCCGCTGCTTCCCCTCTCGAGGGTCCCCACAGCTACCAGTCCGAACGCGTGTCAGGTCACTAGGCTCCAGGATCGGGGTCGGACCAAGTCTTTGAGTCTAGCAAGGGAATTGAAAAGAGAAAGCACTTAAGGTCTAGGGTTTCATGGTTTAAGGTTTAAAGTTAAGGGCTTGGGGCTCTCCATGCTGACACTGATGAATGAAAATACTCACAATGAAGAGAAAACCAGCCATCATTGCCACTACTATTATATTAACAACCATAATGGACAACAGCTACAGTACTGTGCGTTCGGCGGTTCAGGTTGCTTGAAAGTAGCTCAAGCAGTAAACTGAATCCTAAACTCTAAACCAACCCGCCCGCCCCAAGCCCAGACCCTTGACCACCCTAAAACATAAACCTAAAACCCAAACCCTACACCGCCATCAACTCAAAAAAAAAACCTAAATACCAAAACCTCAAACCCACAAACCCTTACGCGTCTGTGAGTTGAGGCATATTTCCAGATGTCGGGCAGTAGACTTTAGGATTTTCTCCGAACGCTCCTGTTGGAGCATAAACATTCACCCCAAAACCAAGTAGGCTTGTGTTAGGTCCGAAGCAAAGAACTCTTCCGTGCGCGGTGGCGCTAGGCGTCGCCACATCCTGGCATCTCCGCACTGAAAGGAGCAAGGTTTGGGGTTCTGGGTTTACGGTTTAGCGTTTGGGGGTTGAAGGGTTTAGGGCCGATTTGCAACATGACTGCCATGTTCTGCTAAAGCGACTATGTCTACAGTTTCGCACGATCAATGATGGTGCTACTGTCGTTCCCAATCGTCTACTATTCGGGAAGTTGCTATGGAAGAAGCCGTGGCTGCCAAACCGGGAGCTCGCCTGAGGCAAATTTTAGAGCCGTACACGCATGCAGGATAAAGGGTTATAAGATGTGAGGTCTTCTGAAGCGGGGATTTTGCAGGGCTTCCAGTGCGGAATTCAGGGGTGGGGTGCTTGCTGGGGTTCGGGTTTAGGATTCAGGGCATCAGTTTAGGGGCTTCGAAACCGAGAGGCTTTTCTACTATAGTTAGTCAGGACAGACCAAGACTTGGACACCCCGACAGCCCTTCCAATTCCATGTCCCGGCGCGCTTGCGTCGTCTGGAAAACCTGATCTGCAGCGCTTTGCTTTGCAACGCAACTTTGCAACGTTCGGTGTCGCGGGCACCCTTGAGTGGGGAATCCTACAGGCCCCCTTTCCTGATATACTATAACTATAATATACTATAATATACTATAATAGACTATAATATACTATAATATACTATAATATACTATAAGATACTATAATATACTGTACTATATAATAGTATGCATTGGCGACCTTCGGGTTTACGGTTTTGGCATTCTCTAAGGGAGGCGCACGCTTTCGGTGCATGGTCGTATCGTTGAAGGATGCTTCCCGAAGCTGTGCCGTGAATCTTGCACCGGTTGACCCAGGAGAACGACCTAGAAAAGTTCGAAGCTCTCGACCCGAAGCCTTGGCTCCTAGCCTAGATCCTGGAAACAATCTCAGCCTAAAGCAACCGCAAATTGCAATGAGTTTTAAGATTTGGCAGCTCGTCCAGAGTCCAACACGAAGTTGCACGATGTTCGTTCTTCTTCGGCATATGCGGTCAGTGCTCGAACAGCACGTGGACGCAGATTTCCAAGTGGTGGTGTTGTCTACACAGAACCCTGAGCACCTGATACGGCTTCGCCACTTGTTCCGTGCCTAAGCGTGGCAACCTCCGCGATGCCAGAGCAACCATGACATACCGAACTACCAGGGCATCCGCACTCGTCGAACAAGAACCGGCTATTGAAGCTTCTCATGACGGATGCTACGCCTGACCCGGCCTTGATCCTGGTCTGCATATAGGGGGGCATTAATACTTCGATTCGGGCTTCGCGGTACATTATGACATGACGATATCGGGACTGGAAGGGGATACCGGAATAGTCCTGCCCAAGCCCAGAAGCCCTTACCCCAGAAGCCCGTAAAACCCTCAAAGCCCCAATCAAGCAATTGCGACGGCGGAGCCACCTCTCAAAAGCATTCTCCCGAGTCTTCTCAGTCTCAATGTGGCTTAGGGCTCAGGGTTGCGGATTCCGCTTAGAAATTCGGGCCGAAATTTTGACTAAAAGGGACCCTAAACCCTAAAATAAAGGGCCACAACTTTGGGTTTAGAGTTTCTGCGGGCGTGCACGCGGCGACTCAGGGTTCAGAGGACTGAGGGGCTAGAGTTGAAAGTTGAGGGTTATAGCCATGGCTTAGGATGCCTAATCGCCTAAGAGGGTTTAGGGTTCAGGCTGCATTATAGTTTAGGGCTTACCTAATAGGCTTAGGGTTCAGAGTTCGATTGGGCTTTGAACTTTAAAGTGTCTTGCATTATACTGCCAAACGCGAGACAAACGAACTGCACAAGGAGACGGAATCATACATTTTTAGGACAGGGAACGGCTCTTGGCAACTGAGAAGCGGTGGCATAGATCGACGCATCAGTTTACAACGATCCCTATGACACCCGTCGTAAAGCTGATGAAGCCTAGAATCTAAACCCCAAGTCCCTGAATGCAAACCCCTCAATCGTAAATGCCTTCGGAACTCTTGTAGATACCTCAAAGCCAAGTCACTCTTTCGGCTGTCTCTTCGTGCGCTCGGCCACGCCCCGCTCAAAGTCCGCTAGGACTCCGTCCTGCGGTCATTTGTCGGTGAGCCGAACAGGTCTTGAAGATAGCCTCCTCTGGGACGTTCTAGGCTACTCTGAAGTCTTAGGTGTCTGGGTGTTAGGGACCAAGGTCTGGAAGATAGGCCTTGCCTGGGCTGTGTCGGAGGCTATGATTCTATTTCCAACGCCATGCTGTAAAAGCCTGTACGAGTCTACGTCACGTGCTGGACATGGTATGCACATCTCCCTGGCATTCGTTCTCCTACACTGCTGCAGATACTGGACCTTCTAGAAACAGAATGTTGAGCTGGAGGAGCCTGGGTGGGTAGGGCCCCAGAGACCTGGAACGTTGACGACAATACTGCGGCATTGCCTAGAATAGTGATGCAGATGGTGGCCACAAGCCCTCCCCCAGGCAGGAATGCCGGCGTGGGGGGACCAAGGGTGCAATCCCTTTCCCGGATAACAACACACCCCCCAAAACGAATTCGATTTGGCCCTGCAGGAAGTAGTCATGTTGGGTATTTGGGGCTGGGTCGGTGGCTGGGGGAGTCGATTAACCACAAAAACCTGATCCCAGGCATGAAATCAGCAAAACAAGTCAGGCTTGTGGTTGAGTTTGTCCCAGTCAGCTAGAATGGCAACCACGACAGCATTCTGATGTCGCACTGTGCGGCTTCTCCCTACCGGAGCCCATAACCGCGACATGGCTAGGGTTATGTAGAGTCCATGACGAGCACATGTGAATGACATGGGTGCAGTGTGGAAAAGCACACCATCCAAACACCAAGCCACTGCAGTGCGGTCTGGGAACCCCTCACCACGAAATCAACAAAACCATGCTAAACCCTAAACCCATGTGCAAGACACGAGAAACAACAAACGCATGGAAATTACTTGGCTGAGGGCCAGGTCGCAGTAGACTTGCCATCTCGTCTCCACCTCTGTCACTCATCTCTGGCTTGTAAGTATTATTATTGCGCAGTTCTGCCGGCACCCCTCGTTGGAGCAAAGGAGGTGCCCTTGCTCTCCGAGTGTTGGAGACCCTCTTACATTTGACTCGTTATGTATTGGCACACGGGGTTCGGAGTTGCGTCTGGGCCCAGGACAAACGAGATACGATTCTCTGCACAGAATAAGCGTTTCATGCTTTTGTCCTGGGCACCTTCGGCAAATCCAGCCCATGCCCAGCAGTCTCTAACCGGAAACGACCCACGTTACGAACGGGGCCTATCGGATGGCCCCAAGCTGCAGGGCTCGACAGGCCTTAAATGTAGAACCCCTGAGCCTAGAGGCACCTCAACTAAGGAATCTCAGGCATACTCCTCTTCTGACCGTCATGGTGGCGTCCCGAATCGAAAGGTGGCCGATCATCTGCGCCACGCCGCCGGCCAACGGTCGCGGGAAGAACGAAGGTCGCGAGGGAGGGGAGCAAGATTCGTCGACACGGCTCTCCCACGTAACCGGCTTCCTCGCTTCCGCCGCAGGCAGACTTTGGGCTTAAAGCTTGTCATATATCTTTAAGTGGGCAGGTAATCGCTTCAGACGGGTTGGTTGTGCCTGGAATTCATTCTGAGAATCTCACACCTGCAATTCCAGCATCAGGGCTCCATGGTCTACGACTCTACGAACGAGGAGGGCCAGTGCGGCATGGAGCAGATTTACGAAGATACCACTCCATTGCCAAAGCACACCCCTGACCACGACCACCACGTCATGCGTGTAGCATGCACAGCCTAGCCAACAACCCACATCAGTCTCTACTGCACGGGGCTATAAGTTAGTCTGGGAGATTAGGGTTGAGAGTTGCCAGGATCACCCAGCTGTTGGCATCTGCGGCATTCAGCTAATTGCCACCGGTCGGTGAATCCACGACATGCTTCGTTGCATTTGGCAGTGTGAATCCCTTAGAGATCCACAAGTACCCGGGAAAAGCAACTCAGAGGCAAATCAATCTGCATCCTGTTTCGTTCCGGGCACTATTATCGCTTTTGCTGTTGGTGGTGATATTATTCATGTCGACATAACGACCACTACCACTGTCAGAACGCCTACTACTACGGCGGAAGATCATGACAACCGACACGGCTACTAGAAGTACCATGCAGGTACGTTCTGACCCGAGAAATGCTAATTGCCTGCCCTTTGGACCCTGCAAAACCCCACAGCTGACCCATCCCCTTTGGCCCGGGCGGGGACAACGTTGTCTGGCCCCTGCACACGGCGCGTCGGGAGGCTCGGCCCATGGTGCCCGTGGTGTGTGGATTTCCAGCGAAACAACTTTGCACGCGAGACCTTCGAAAAGTCCGGCAAAGCTGGGAGGGGAAGAGGTAGGCTCCAAGGGTTGACCCGAGATGGTCACTCTCGGCAATCATGCAACGTGGTCTCACTGGCATCACTGCAACCCAGAGGGCTTACAAGCTTGCGGAGGAGATGCGGATAAACCCTCCTTCGGGAGTCACACGACTCCTACATCCTGCCTTTGCATTGCTCTCGGAGGCCTGGGGCATCAACTCAGCTACGGGTCTCTGGCTGCTTAGCTCAGTGAGTTGTTACTCCTAGAGCCTACACACTACTATCCGTTACTGCCCTGCACCCTGATGTGAACCCTATTTTGTCAGACCTTAGCCAAAAGCCGTTCTTTCAGCTAAAAGCTTTGTGTGGGCCTCAAGGCTTGGGGTGGTCTCGGAGGCTCAGAAATTAAAAGCTGAGCTCTTGGAGTGAATTGTTTAAACTGTTCGGGAGGGTCTTATCTACCTATCTTTGCATCCACCCAACCTCCATTCATACATACATCATACATCCATCCATGCATGCATGCACCTACGTATGTATGCATGTATGTAGGCCAGACATGTGTAGTCGTTGGCAAAGGTATATGTATGCACATGCACGTATACAATTGTATATACAGCTATGCATATGACTGCTCCGGCAGACCGTGTATTCTGAACCAAATTA